TATGAAACTCCTGGGTGGCAGATTGCTTGACTTCTGGTGATTACTTGCCATTGTGTTTGCAATTCCTAGTGGATGGAAAGTGATTGGAATTGACTGCAAAGTACCATGTGTTTGGCCAGCTTTACAAAGTCTTTATGTTTTTTTTTTTTATTTGTGTGTTTAAGATTTTAAAAACTAACTTATATTTAATTTATTAAGTTATTTAATTAATTCTATAAGGTAGTACAGAGATCTCCAAATTGTGGACTGTGGTCTGGATTTGGCCCTTTGCTTGCCTTTATCCGTTCCTTGGGGCACTATTCCTTCCACATTTACAACGCACTAGTCCTTCCACTGACACCAAAGATAGGGCACTATTCCTCCCACTGACGCCAATGATGTAATTTTTTTACTCCCACTGACCACCAAGGCTATGGCATTATTTACTCTGACCAATGCCAGGGGATTTTCTACTTCAAATGGCCACAGTTCAGCCAGTTATAGCCCCTAATATTTGAAGGCCAGTCAATTGACCCTTGATTTCGAAAGTATGGAAACCTCTGCGATAGCAGATTATTGGATATGGAGACTGTGCTTCTTACTTTGTCTTGTTCCACAATTACCAAGATTTATTATTTTCCTTGTTAACACTATAAGTGCCCATTCGTACTGCATGCACACAAAACTGCAGTGGTTTAGTGAGTGGACAGTTCTCCATTCTGACTGCAGTGAGCAGCAGTAGGGGGCAGGGTGACAAGTTTCAGTGCATCGCGTAGTTCCCTTTTTTTTTGTGTGTCAACTTCATTGAAGTGCAGAGTGACATGTCATTTATGTCACTGCACAACAGCACAGTGCATTGCGCTGCTGTACAGTGACATACAATACATTCCTTCACAATAATACGCAGCATGTCAGCAATTTATCGCAGCCCACTGCACTGCACCTCCAGGCTGCATTGCAGTGTGAACAGGACACATAGAAAACTATTGTTTTCTGTGTATCCTAGCAGTGACGTGTGGGCCAGTTAGCTGCATTCTCTACATTCCAGTGGCAAGAATCAGCGGTCGCCAATGTTTTTATGTGGCCGCACACCAAGCAGTTACCTGCAGATGTTTGAGTCTGGACGCATCTAACTGTAACTAGGCTCAGACATCCATCCCTAACTGCAGATAACCATTTTGTGTGCAACTACATGTGAACGGCGGTGGCTGCTGTCAGCCTGTCACTAGTTTAAATAAACTGAGCGGCTGCAGCTATTTGCATGCCCTGGTCATTCTAGCTGCAAGAATCCACTGATTCTTGCCACTAGAATCTGGAGAGGACAGCTAACCAGCCATGTGAAGGAGGACTAAGAATTTACGAATTTATACTTAAAATACAAAAATATATGGAACACAATGTAAACCACATTAAAAAATAGCTATTTGGTAAATGTTACATCAGTGTTTTAAAAAGTCTAATGCTAGAGACATCGTTGATCCCAACATCTGAACACTTTTAGTACAGAGCTGTCACCCCAACTACGAGGATATAGCTTGGCTATTCCCAGCTCAGGATAAGGTGAGTATGCACTACTAGGTTAGTGTTAGGCTTAGGGATTTGAGTGCTTTGAATTAAGCTTCAGGTTTAATGTGAGGACTGGGATTAATGGTTAGGTGTTATTGGAATAATTATTACAGCGAAACTCCAGGTATGGCAAGTTATACATACTGTGGCTATGCACAGAGGCAGGCCCTAACACCACAGACTTAACCAGGGGCGGACTGACAACTCATGGGGCCCCCCGGGCAATAGGGGACCATAGGGCCCCTGTGTCCTTGCCCAAACTGAAAAAAGCCTATGAAAAAGGTACCAGGGGCATCTCATGGGGCCCCCTACTGACCGAATTTCCAAATGGTCAGTCTGCCCCTGCACCTAACAAAGCCATTAGTAAACAGGTGAAAGCAGCCTCAGCCACATTCATCCACGCCTCCAATACTGGGCACCTTAACCTTTCTACCCAGGCCAATTTTCAGCTTTCAGTGCTGTCGCACAATGAATGACAATTTTGCGGTCATACAACACTGTACCTAAATGAAATTTGTATAATTTTTTTGGGACAGATAGAGCTTTATTTTGGTAGTATTTAATCACCACTATGTTTTTTATTTTTTACTAAGCAGACGAAAAAAGACCAAAAATTAAAAAAAAAAAAAAAAAAAAAGGGTTCTCTTTGTTTCTGTTTTGTAAAAAAAAGGAACTTTTCTCTTTCACTGATGTGCGCTGATGAGGCTGCACTGATGGACACTTATAGGCTGCAGTGATATGCTGCACTGATAGGCAGCACTGATGGCACCGATGAGCCAGTACAAATATGCGGCACTGATGGGCACAGATAGGTAGCACTAATGGCACTGATGAGGAGGCACTGATATGTAGCACTGATGGGCAGTGATAGGCAGCACTGATGGGGCTGCACTGATTATCAGTGCCCTGATTATCAGTGTCAGGCTGGGTTCACACTGATGCAGTGCGGAATTCGAAGCGTTATCTGTGCAAATTTCACACCGCATCAGAATCGCACCCCCTTCATGCGAACCGCTGCGGGTTAAGTTAACAACATCCTGAAATCGATCCTCAAAATGCGGTACGATGTGCAGAATCGGATTGCATAGGTGTGAATACCCATGCGATCCAATTCTAGTGCGGACCAAAAAAGAGTCCTGCACCTTTTTCGTGTGGGTGCGGTGCGATTAGAGCCATACAAAATGTATGGCTCCAATCGTACCGCACACAAATCGCATGTGATTTGCACAGGAATGTGGTGCGGTTCCTGTGCGAATCACATGCAATATACCGCACCGCATATATGTGAACCCAGCCTAAATGCCCCATCAGAATTGCCAGTGACTGGTTCCCCTTTCCTCACGTGCTGTCACAGTAACTGGCAAGTTTGTTTACATGTGATCAGCTGTGATTGGACACAACTGATCACATGGGAAAGGGCTGCTGTGATTGCCCTTTACCATTACCTGTGATCAGCGGTGTCCAAAGGAAACAGAGATCACAGAGCTTGCCGGATGCATGCCTTGGGGGGTGAGTGGGGGAAGGCGTAGTTCTGGGAGAAAGTCCATGGATGCCCTCCTGGAACTGGAGGACTGTCTGCTCTGTAGCTGTGTTTTGGCTATAGCGTGGACAGAAACTAGTTAAAGCGGAGCTCCACCCAAAAGGGGAAGTTCTGCTTTAAGGACTGCTCCCCCGCTCCCCATTAAGGATTGGCACCTTTGGGGGGGAATGTACCTGAATTTCAAAGGTACCCGCTCCCACTTCCGGTCTGATCACCTAGGCGCCCCGGAAGCTGAAGGTGTCCTCCCTCCCTCCCTGTAGTCTTTTGGGACATGTGACAGGTCCTAGAAGACTACAGGACCATTCATGAAGCGCAGCGGTACTCTCGCATGCGCAGTGGGCACCCGGCTGTGAAGCCGAAAGCTATCACAGCCGGGTGCCCACACTGAAAATGCCGGCCTCCTGGAATACAGGACAGCCAGTGAAACAGGGGACACACCGCAGGACCGAGGAACAGGTAAGTGGCTTTTTTTAAACGTCAGCAGCTTCAGTTTTTGTAGCTGCTGACTTTTATTTTTTGACATTGTGAGTGGAATTTCGCTTTAAGGGCTCATTGTAGGGCTTAGTGTAAGTGTTAAGTACTGGGGGAATAATTAAAGTGTATGTAAAGCAATAAACATCTTTTATTTGTTCCTCTTGGTTCCCATAAATATAACATTTAAAACATTTTGTTATAATACATTCAACACAATAAGTGCAAAAATTACTCATTTACTCTGCCAAAAATCCAGTGAGCTTGTTATTTCTGGAGCTCTCTGCAGTGTGATCAGCCCAACCCAGGTCACCTCTAAACTGCAGAACATTTTGTTTTGAAGATAAGGAGAAGAAAAAACCCGCCAGCACAGAGAAGTACAGATACAGTAGTTTGGGGTGCCTTACCTAGTACTTGATGCTGGATAGTGCAGGGCCCCACACTGCCACCTAGTGTCTACTAATACAAACATACTTTCCTCTATGGGGAAAACCTTATCTCAGGGACAAGCAGCACAGCCCAGAATGTAGAATAAATGGCCCGTATGGCTTTTTAATAGTTTGTAATGAAATTTCTATGCAGGCTTATCTGCATAGTAATGTAAAACAGTAAAGCAGTTTTTTTTCAACCAATTAGAGTTGTTCGCATGTATGCATGTGCAATAGATTGTGCTAAGCAGTAAGAGACTTTACGGCAAATTCATTAAAATGGGGGAAAACTGGATTCAAAGTGTAGCTGCTGCTAGTAGAAAACAATCCTGTTTTAAACTTAATTTTTAGTAGCAAAAAAAAAAAAATTTGGTACAATATTCAACCAATCCACTATTTAGTCATTTTCTTTTATTCCATGTGTTGTTGTTAGGAACAGATCATCTGCAACACTAAGTTGAGAAATATTTGATCTTTTATATACATTATGTGTATGTACATGAAAAGTAGTTCCACTGTGAAAATACCAGGTTGGGGGAAATCACCTTTTGTGTGAAGGAAATCTGGATTTCACTTAAAGCTTATACTTAGCTAAAACTTTCTTTTTAACCAGTTGCCCTCCAGAGGATTTACAATCCCTTCCTGACCAGGCCATTTTTTGCATTATGGCGCTGAGTTACTTTAATGGACAATTGCGCGGTCATGCAATGCTGCACCCAAATTACATTTATGTCCCTTTTTTTCCCCACGAATAGAGCTTTCTTTCAATGGTATTTGATTGCCTGTGCCTTTTTTATTTTTTGTCCCATAAAAAAAAAAGGTCGACAGTTTTGAAAAAAAAAAATAATTTTGACTTATTGCTATTAAACATGTGCAGAAAAAAAATTTAAAATTCAAATTTCATTTAGGCCAAAATGTATTCTGCTACATGTCTTTGCTAAAAAATCCCAATATGTGTAGTTTGTTTATTTGAAAGTTAGAGCGTTTACAAATGGCGGGATATATACTGGGCTTTTTCTGTTTTTACTAGTAATAGCGGCTATCAGCGGGACTGCGGTGAGCATTCTGACAATGGGGGGAACTGTCTTGGTGTCACTGACATCCCCAATGACACCAATACAGTGATCAGTGCTTAAAAAAGCACTGACACTGTACTAATGACACTGGGCAGGACAGGGTTAACATGTGGGGTGGTCAAAGGGTTAGCAGTGTGCTGTGTGCTGCAGGGGGGGGGGTGTGCTTCACTGTAAGCACACTGCTTTGCATGGCTGTGCTGTGTGCAGGAGCTGACAGGGGAGAGAACTGTTTTATTTAACAGTTCTCTCTCCCATCAGAGATCCTTGGCAATCACTGGGCACCAGTGAGTAATCACTTGCCGGGAACCAGTGATTGATAGCCGTGGTCACCAATGGGGCGTGGGAAGGGGGCACACGCGCCTCACGAATGCCCCCTACCCGGAAATGCAAAATCATTTGGTTTTGTGCACCCATGCTGCCCCGTAGCAGTACTTCTGCTATAGGGCGGACTGGAAGCGCTTAAAGAGTAACTAAAGGAAAAACGTCTTTGTTTGTTCTGAATAGAGTGGTGAGGGATTAGAACCCCTGTCAGTTTTTATTGCTGTCTGTCTTTACGGTTATCATGGAGAGTGAGCCTGGGTTCACACTGATGCAGTGCAGCACATCGCATGTGATTCGCATAGGAACTGCACAGCATTTTTTTATGCGGTGCAATTTGAGCCATACATTTTGTATGGCTCTGATCGCACCGCATCCGCACCAAAATAGTGCAGGACCTTTTTTTTTGTCCACAAAGAATCAGATTGCATGGGTATTCACAGCCATGCAATCCGATTCAAAACATCGCACTGCGTTTTGCGCACAGATTTTGAGGTGTCATTAACTTAACATACAAACCCGTAGCAGTTCGCAAGAACAGGGTGCAATCGTGATGCGGTGCAGAAAACGCACAGAAACCAGTGCGAATTCTGTACCACATCAGGGTGAACCCGGGATGAAAGTAAAATAAAATCCAAAAGTTTTCACCAGAACAGGAATGGAGGGGAAATCTTCCAAATGGGGCACTAATTATGGTGACCCTGGGGACACCCAGGGATTCCCTCACTTTGGAGGGATTTTCTCTCACTTCCTGTTTTGGCCATGGGACAGGAAGTAAAGGGAAATCTCCCCAACGGGACACAGATGGAAGAAAAACTGACAGGGGTTATAACCCTCCCTTATTCTATCCAAAATAAAAATAAAAAAGTTTTGCCTATAGTTCTACTTTAAATTTTGGGTAGCGTGTGGAAAAGAGTTGAAGCCCCATATGGTTTTTAGTGCTGCCTGTGGCCCCTCTGGTGAGATTCATAATCTTTGCTTGTCCTTGTGATCATTGAAACTAATGGGAAATCCAAGATGTTGCAGTTGTCACCAGAGCAGACGGTGGGTGGAAATATTCCAAAGGGGACACCTGTTCCAGTGACAACTGTCTAATTGGGCATTTACCCTCACTATGGAGAGATTTCCTCTCATGTCCTGTTGTGTTTCTAGGACATATTAAAACAAGATACAAACAGCAAAAAAAAGGAGGGGGATTTAACTAATTTTCCCCAAAAGTATCTTGGAACTGGTCTTTAAAGCAGTATTAAACGCAAAAGCAAACACTTGTTATTTTGCAGCTTACCCTTTCTTAGATGTGATGGCTGCATTAGTTTTTTTTAGGCTTTCTTTCGTGTATTTCCATCTGGTGATCCAGCTAGTAAGCCTGTTGTTTTTCAAAAGATTGAGCTCTCCAGCAGATTGTGTCAGCTACAGAAATGAGACAAACCATTTATCACTGGGAGGGGTACTTGCTTTGGTTTATTAATGTAAAAAAACATTATCCCAAAAGGAAAAAAAAAAACTGTTTACTTTAACTGCTTAAAAGGTAATAGCTGGAGTTTGGGTTTAATTGGTTAGTGTATTTAAATCTGCTAGTACATCAAATACTCCTCTCCCCTGAGACTGACAATTCTGCTGTCCAAAGATGTCCCCTGTGCTCCTTCATTTGGAGTGGGGGCACTCTAATACAGGAGACGTGTTACTGGACAGATCACCAGTTGAAAACAGAGGTAAAAAAGCCTAAAAAACAGAAAACGAATGCAGCCACATCTATTGATTGGTAAGCTGCAAGATATCACATTTTTGGTTTTGGGTTTAATACTGCTTTAACCTCTTCCTGCCAATGTAGCATAGAGTATATATGAGAATGAGCACCACTGAATATAATATGATTTCCCCTGTCATGCGATTCTGTGCAACTCAAGTTGCATAAAATAAATCACACCAGTGTGAATCTGCACTTAAAGATGGTGTCAGAAAACTGGGGTGTCCACCTGAAAGATAATGACCTTCTTACCATGCAGACGATGAAGATATAAACATTTGGGAGTAATTCTACACTCTTGTGATAACACATAACTGGGGTATTAGTTTTGGGTAGAGTTTTCCTTTATATTTGCCTGCTTTATTGCACCCCTCCCCCACAGCTCATACTTACAATGCCCATCAATCCATTACCGCATCAGGTAGGAAAGTACCCAGTTTTTCCAGATTTGGCAGATTTGGAGGAGTGTGATTTACTCCCACCCCCTATTTTATGAGCTTTGTAGAGGGGTTTGAACCCCCGTCAAGCTTTTACTGCTATCCAGGGGTTTGTTAGATAGATTTATCCTCATTTTCTGTCCTGCTGACAATGGTTTACTAGACAGGAAATTAGGGGATTTCTTCAACAGCAATACTGAGAAAAGTAAAATTACTTTATTTGAGTATAGTACTGGATGACTACAACCCCTATCAGATTTTATTTCTGTGTCCTTATTGCAAGTTTTCCATGACCTTCCATCTGATAAAACCATTGTCACCAGAACCAGAAGTATGAGGGAAATCTTTTAACAGAATGACAGATAGCAGTTTTTCACAGGTACCCGTTACCTGTATAGGCAGTTTTTTGGTAAAGGTGAATGTGGCTGACTGCCTGACACCCCAACTGGGTATCTCCTCCAGACTACAGCTGGAATCAGAATATAGCAAATGTACCCCAAGCATCAGACAGAACCAATGTTGGAGAAAACAGGACTGACTTTATTAACAAACAGCACAGCATTTATACATAAAAACCTTCCCCCTAGACAGGTATGGCACGCACGCACACACACACACCACGCACGAACGCACGCACGCACGCACGCACACACACACACACACACGTTACAAGTCCCAGGAGAAAATCACATTACATAAACAAACAATCAAACACAATAAAACAATGGATTCCTTCCTGGTATCTAGCAGTCTGGATTCTGGAGGTGATTAACCACTTGCCCTCCAGAGGATTTATGCCCCTTCCTGACCAGGCCATTTTTTGCGATACGGCACTGCATTACTTTAACTGACAACTGCGCAGTCATGCAATGCTGCACCCAAATGAAATGTATGCCCTTTTTTCCCTAGAAGTAGAACTTTCTTTTGATGGTATTTGATCGCCTCTGCATTTTTTACTTTTTGTGCTATAAATAAAAAAAGACAGACAATTTTGAGAAAAAAACTATATTTTTGACTTTTTGCTATTAAACATGTCAAGTCAAAAAAATTTTAAAAATCATATTTTGTCAAAAATGTAGGCCAAAAAATGTATGCGATCCTCGACTTATAGCGGGACTGTGGCGGGCATTCTGACACTGTGCATAGCCATGCAAAGCAGTGTGCAGAAGCTGACAGGGGAGAGAACTGTTTTGTTTACAAACAGTTCTCCCCCCTGTCGGAAAATCCTCGGCAGTCACCAGGTGCCGGTGAGTAATCACCGGCCGGAACCCAGTGATTGGTCCATACAAAGCAGTGTGCAGGAGCTGACAGGGGAGAGATCTGTGTTGTTTATACACAGGTCTCTCTCCCATCAGAGATACTCGGCGATCACCAGATGCCGGCGAGTAATCACCGACTGGGAGCCGGTGATTGACAGCCGAGGCACCAAACGGCCCCTACCCGGAACTGCTTACTTACTTATATATATGTGTGTGTGTGTGTGTGATTTTGCGCACCTGTGCCGCCATGTAGCAGTATTTCTGCTATAGGGTGGAGCAAAACCAGTTAAACAAAGTGGAAAAAAAGCGAAAACATCACTTAAACCTAATTACAGCAAACAATAGTTGATGCCAGGAAACTGTAACAGAAAATAAAGTTTCTTAGCCCCACACATGCTGGAATTCACCACCTGCAGAAAATACATCATTCTAGGATAATAGTTCCACAATGCACAGTATGTCAAGGGGTCCCAGACACATTCCCTCCAGCCCTAATTGCACGGAAAGGGTAGCTGGTATAATTCGCTGCCAGCTAGGTACCCAAGGAAGTGATATAAACCTCCTGGGGAAAGGGTTCCTTGTAACCCCAAGAGGGAGGGTCTTCTTAGTCCTGGGTCCATAGTTGGTGGGAAAGAGGCTGGCCCCCAGGCCCCTCCAGGAGCCCAAGTTATGATGGTTTCTCTGACAGTGAACTAGCCCTTTCGGATAACGCCACTTTTAGAATAGTTGTCATTTAAAGACTGATGGACATCTTTATACTTTGTGGTGAGAGTGGGAGGAATAGCACCCATCTAAATAAAGAAACAAGAAATAAGAATCCTTGCTGTTCTTGCAGACATACTATGCAGCCCATTGTTTGGATGCTGATGATGCTAAATCCTTATTTGCCCTCATGTAAACCCTCGTATTACTTTACTACAAAGCTCATCCATCTGGCCAGTCTTGAGCTGGAATTTGCATACTCTGTGCATGGTCATACATGTGCGGTTCATTGGCTTCCAACAAGTGGATTGTAAGTGTGGCAGTAAGAGGCAGAGCAGACACCTCAGTAACTATGTTATGTAACTGACAGCTCAAAAAAAGCTGCTTAGTCTTAACTTTAACAGGATTACATATGACGAAGATATGTCAAAGTCTGTCATCTGCTTTGTATGGACTATTGAATAATAGCAATTACACAACTCATTTCAGAGACACATTAACATACTGCACTAAGTACATATCCAAGTACAAGGATAATGGAAAGTAATGGAAATACTGATTGTTCCTTATAGGGAAAATATGGTCTATTTAACACTGAACAATATCCTCATTCTCCAAATCCATACCCATTCACTATTTAATGGCCCTGTGATTTTTTTTCATTAAATAGTTTTAGGCACACCATAGACAGTGCAAATTTCTTTCCTGCAACCACGAGTTGCAGGAAAGAAATTTTCATGATTCCCCCATCATCACAGACAGTGAGGGCACGTGCAAGGTGTGAGGGTGGGCTATGAAAGCTGTAACCGCCAGGAGAAGAGCAGCCACTAGCAATAACCACAAGTGAATCAGGTAGACTGGTTGTACCCATGTTTATTAATCAGCTTAGTACATTCAGCCTGCCCACACATGGTTTAAATCTCAGCCAGTTCCTGTTGAATCGGCTGAGATTCAAACCATCTATGGCTGGCCTTACTGTGTTTTTTTTTCTTTGTAACTTCCTCCATATGCTCCTGAACTTCTCACTACCATTTGTTGTTACAATAAGAACTTCATATTGCTTCCGCTCATGTGCACTGCTATGTGAACACTACACAACCCATAGTGCATAGTCAATCTCAGGAGAAAGCAGAGAATGGCTATGTTCCTACATACAGTGGGACCATGGATAACAAATGTAGCCACATTCTAACATGAAGTTGAGCCACAACACCAAAAAAATAAATTGCAAATCTGGAGGAGTTTAAGATTAACAGAAGGTACTTTTTTAACGAGGAATACGTAAGTAACCAGGTGCTTGGCAAAGAATGGAGAGTGAGAGAGACACTGGATGCAGCTGCTCTCTGTAGCTGCTGCTCTGTGGTGCTGAACTGGTTAACGGCTATATCAGTAAGAGGAGGAAGCTGTTGAGCAGGAAGAGTTGAATAGACTGAGTCAGGTAGCACTACACTGTGGGAACTTTAGTCCAGGGAAGATAGCGTCTACTGTAATCAAGCTTTTGAACTGCATTTCCCAGATGGGGATTGCCAGAGGAGGGGAAAGAGCTGTATTTAAGCTGTACAGGACACAGCTTCCTTTTGCCTTGAGGGAGACCGGAGAATGCACATCGCTGTCCAGTGTACACCACTACTGCTGCTTCTCAACAGCCTGAGGGAGATCTGGAATGCTGACAGCCAGAGCCATCTGGGTGCAGAGCAGAGCAGAGTGGACACTAATTGCTGTGTGTGTGACAAAAGATGGTGAGCTGCAATATCACCATACTGGGGACTGGTGTGAGCTGCTGTCCTCAGGGGCACCAAATATAAAACTGGGCCCCAACACTAGCTGGCTGAAGAGTTAGGACAAAAGATTGTCATTTTAGAGCTGCTACACAGAGACCTTTACCTATTGCTTATGCTAAGAGGTACCTCTCAGGGGACATTGCACTAGGGTGCATGATTGCAAGAAGAGCAAAGAAAGAAGAAAAAAAGGAAGTCAGCAGGTTGGGAAAAGAGAGTTCCTGCAGACTGAAGAGCATACAGAGTTAGCCTAAAATCCCCAGGCTGGTTGGGTTCAGGGTCGGAAGAGCATATGACCACCACGGGGCCCACATTTTGAGGAATTTAGTGTGGGAGTCATGAAGGATACTGGTCATCTTTTCATTAATCATTAGGGTAGTCAAGATGCTCTTCACCTCCGCAAACTGAAATTGAGGGTTTTTCCAAGCTCTGGCTATTGCACATTTGGCAGCTTTGAAGAGGTTAGTAGCCAGTTTCTGTTGATAAGAAAAGAGACCTGGGTTTTGGCAGTGGAGAAGTGCATGCTTAGCGTCCTTACGAGTGGGCACATGAAAAAGTGTAAACAAATGACTATAAACCTTTGACCAGAACCCCACCAGGCGGGGGCGGAACCACCAGATATGGATCTCGTCACATCGTTGGCCACAGTGCCAGAAACATCTATGACTATATGACAGGTTCAAGTAGGTAATACGGGCCGCAACCCAATAAAAATTGTCTATGTTCCAGATGAATATGTGCAATGCCATAAGCAATCAAAAATCTACTGAAAATCTAGAATAAAAAACTACTGTGATCTGCCCTGGTTTTTGAGGGTGATAGACGCCAAAGATTGGTAGGTACCAACCCTATTCAACCAGTTTCAGTGGTGTTGCAGGTTTTGCTTGGTCATGGTCAAAGTTCTTTTGCACAAAGTTAACAAAATGTTCCTTCATTTTAGGTTTTCTTGCAAAGGAGCGTTGTAGAACAAGGAGTCTCTTCTGTGCTTGCTCTCGCTTGTTTGGTAGTCTAAGGTGTGGTGAGAGAAATGGCAGGGTTGCTACCCGTCGGTTTGCTTCGTCTACAAACATCTCCTTTACAACTATATCAAGGAGCATATGATCTTTGATGGACATAGCAGGTCTTTCATCATTTGGAGTTCTAGTGACCACGTTGTTACCTAAACTGTCCACGCTATGAGCTGTGGTCCCTTAATGGCATATTGAGGGAGTGCATGGCTGTAGTTCAAAAGCATTAAAGATCTCTTTTACTTGCATATAGCTGGTGTGTGGATTGAATAAGGAAGGGCGCACATTTAGCAGCACATTTGTCTTAAATGAGTTTGTATCTGCTGCTGTGTGAGCCCCACCTGTATGTACTTCTCCAACTATGACCCTTCCTAAATCTAAATGTTGTGCATAAGGAGCATTATGGGGTCCATTAATCTACTCACGCACCTTGTGCACCCTGAGAATATCTCTCCTTAGCAAGAGGAGTATTTGGGCATTAGGGTCAATTACTGGAATCTTATCTGTTAAGGATTTCAGATGAGGGAAATGCTGCGTAATCTCAGGGGTTCGTATTTCTGACCTGTCATCCGGCATCATGTCACAATAAATGATACCGGGAAGTTTTATGTGTGTTTTCCTATCAATATACTGAACAGGGAAGTTAGATGCTCTGTGCCCTGTTTTTACCATAGTACTTGAGCATGTTTTTAGTGTGTACGAAAACGATTCACCACTAATGTTAAACACTCTGACGTGGCTAATGAGCGATTACTTTGATCATCTAGCACTGCATACGTTTTCACAGAACAGTCAGGTTTGTTAGAGGTGTATACAGTCACTAAACAAATCTTGGAACATGATCTGGGCTATGTCCCTTCTGCACATACCTCCGTACACTTGGATACAGCAGTTGATGGGGTTGATTCATCTTCCTCCTTGTCTTGCTCTTTGTTGGTTACTGGACTCTCTGTTGTCCAAAGGGCTGGACCTGGATGCAGTGCCGAGGTATGCTGGTCACTACTGCACTCTCTTCATTTTATGTTGAACTTGCAGTCTTTAGCAATGTGTTTGGTGGATGCACAACATCTGAAGTAGATGACATTTTCCTTCAGGTAAGCTTACGTTCATCAATGTGCTTGCTTCTGAACCCACAACACTTTGACAGTGGGTGTTGTAACAATCATGCACACAGGGAGAGGAGCGGCTCTCCATTTTGCTCCAAACTTCTGCATTTTGGTATTTCTCTTAAACTCCTATGCAACCACCTGAGGGGGGAGGTGTAACAATCATGCCCACCAGAGCCAGACACGATCCTCATTTTGTTAAGAAGTCTTAATGTTATCCCCTCATTCCTCCTCCCTCAAGAATGCAGTCAGTGTATGATGCTGAGCCCCCTACCTAACAATCCTCTACCCAAATAAGGTAATTGGCTTGTCTGTTGTAAGAAGATACCAATTGATTTTTGTAGAAATAAGCTGTTATGCTT